ATATATATGTATGTATATATATATATATATATGAATGTATGTATGTAATGTAAGGAATTGCAGCATAATCATATTTAACAAGTATTTATAGTCCAATTGATTTTCATCGTGTGTTGCAATTAGAAAAACAAAAACTATACGAAAAAAAAATAAAAAATTATATAATCAAGAGCAAATGCTGACTACAATGAAAATAATAGGTATATATATATTTATGCTTGCATGTGTTTATGTATGTATGTTTGTAGGTGTCTATATGTATGTATATCTATGTATTTGTAATTTGTTTGACAAAAAATACACTCAGCATTCTATTTAATAATCGTTCTGTTGTGTTTGATTTTGTTTCTCTTTTTTTTTTTGTTTGTTTTTTGTTTTCTTTTTTAACATAAACTAAACGCTAAAAGTTAACACAATACATTTAAAAAAATGATAATTATAATATAAAATATATTTAATATGAATATTTTAATAAATGAAAAGCATAATATTGATTGTTACTTCTTGTTTTGCTGTATTCATGTGTGTGTGTGTGTGTGTATTTGTCTGTGTTTTTGTGAGTGTTGTGTATGTGTTTGTGTGTATATGCGAGTGTGTGGGTTTGGGAATTGGCGTTTGTCAATTGTTTTCCTTTAATTTCTTCTCTTTTAATTACTTTAACGCAGCTGCAGATTCAATCCATATGTTAAATATATATATATATATGTATATGTATACGTATGCGTTTGTGTAGTGTATGTATGTATGTGTGTAACCCAACTAAACTATAAATTACTTTTTTCATACTCTGTGTTTTTTTTTTCTTCACTTTTTTGTGGTGTTTTGTTTTGTTTTCGCATTTTTCGCATTCATTTCTAATCATTTTTTTTTTTTGTGGGCGTGTCTTGCCCCCTTCTTGAGTCAGACATCAAGGTGCTGTCCTTGTTCTTCTTTTGCTCTATATACTTATATGTTGTATCTTTTAGTTGTTGTTTGTTGTTTTTAAATATATTTAAAGTTTTTTTTTTGACATTTTGTATTTTATATTTTTTCCATTTCTCTGTATGAAGTTTTAATTCTGTTTGCGCTATTTGTTAATTCGTTTCTCTCATTGCTTGTTGCCTTTCGCTAATAGTTCGCGTTCTCTGCTGTTACCGTTCTTCTTTATAGTGTTATATGCGTGCGAGCGTGTGTGTGTGTGTGTCTGAGTGTGTATGTATAAGTAAATATTTCGCTTGCTTTGTCACTTTGATCTTCCATTGCTGAATCGCGCATTTTTATGAAGATCTGCGTATGGTTGTGTTTGTGTGTATCTGCATGCGCAGTTGTGAGTCTATGTGTCTGTGTGGGTGTGTGTGTGTGTGTGTGTGTGTGCGAGGGGTTTACTGGGCAATGCCGCGCCATTGGTTCAATCGTAGGCTCAATTGGCATGCCACTCACCACGGTTGGCGCCACCAGCGCCCGCCGCATTATTTGAATAGTAGGGCTTGCTCAGCTGCGCCGTCGCTGCCGCTGCGGGCGAGTTGCCGCCGCCGGCTCCGCCTGGGCCACCAGGGCCGCCGTTGCCGCCATTGTTGGCGCCAGGCGGTACGCCGGGCGCGTTACTATTGCCGGCACTGCCGGCCGCACCGCCCCCTGTCACTTGGCGCATGCTTTGGGCGCGCTGCGCCGCTGCCGCTGCCTGTTCGCGCTGCTGCTGCTGTTGTTGTTGTTGTTGCTGCTGCTGCTGCTGTTGTTGCTGCTGTTGCTGCTGCTGCTGCTGCTGCGGATGCTGTGGATAGTTGTTTGGCCGCTGTATGGGCGCCGGATATCGACCCTGACCACTGCCGCTGCTCTGCCCCACGCTGCCAACGCCACCGTTGCCACCACCACCCACTACCTGGGAGCCGGCGGAGCCGCTGCCCACGGCACCGCTGCCACGGCCGCCGAGTGCATTCATGTTGCTGCCGTTGCCACCCTGCCGTTGCTGCTGAGATTGTTGCTGCTGCTGCTGCTGTTGCTGCTGCTGTTGTTGCTGCTGCTGCTGTTGCTGCTGCAGCACATGATTCTGCAGGTCCCACTGCGCATGAAAGAATTGAGAAGGGTCAGTGAATCGGTTGGCGGACTGCGAGCTGCTGCCATTGTTGTTGCCGTTGCAGTTAAGGCTACTTACGCCGCCATAGTTCTTGTGATGCGGCGGACTTGGCTGCGACTGCCCCTGCTTGGCCAGGTTTATGTCAGCGCTCAATGGACTCTTCAGTTGCCTGCCCATCTGCAAGTGAAATGGGAAACGTGTTAGATGACACTGCAAGGGACCACAAACACCGAATGGGGGCTACGCATGCGTGGCGTGTGCCTTTCCATGCCCCACTAGGCTTACTCTAAACGAAATTTCGACATATCGATACACCCGGGGGGGCCTTGCTCCCTGCTAAAATCGAGTCGCCTGTCAAGCGTAAATCTGACGAAAATCGACGAGAGCCGACAGTTCATTAAAGGGAGAAAGTCTATGTAATTTAAAATATATATCCGAGTTTATATAATACCACATCAGTTTCACAGATCTTCAATTAACCGTCGCAATTCGCGCGTGCGTCTGAGAACTAGTATATATAGTACAAACGTATTTTTCAAGACTACCCCAAGTTCCTGGCAAAGAGACGTGATTTGGGAACAACAAGAAATCGAGCTCGTAATATTTTTCGTTTTCAATTCTCAAGTCTGAATAAAGATCCGGTAAGTTTTTGCTTCTTTGGATCCCCTGCTATATAATTAGACATATTTGCGACCCCCTGAGTTCACGCGGCCTTGATCCACCAGCTTTATGGAAAGATATTTATTTGGGTTTTCTGTTTGATCTAGTTTGTGAAAACTGTTTTGAGGTGATATTTTTATTTAAATTAATGCACATTATATGGTATTTAGTTCAAAGAGAAATATCTCAGTCCCGTATTAGGCTCTGGCTGTGATTAAATATGTAACTGAGTGAACGGGGGGGAGTACGGGTGTGCGAAAGCGTACAAACAGTAATTAATACAAATTGCTGGCGGACTCGTTGTTCATGTGGCTATACATGGGCATATTTGGGTATCTAGAGAGTGTGGTGGTGTGTGTGGTTGATAGTGGTGGACGTGGTTCACTCCTTACCGAGTCCTGCATGTGTCCCTGGCCCTGGCTGTTCTTCAGGTAACCGCCGCCGGGCGTCGGGCCACTTCGGAACTGACTCATGCCCGCCGCCGACAGGAGCTGCGAGTTCATGAACTGCGTGTTGAAGTTGCCCATCGTGTGCTGCGACTGGGGTCCGGGCGGACCATTGGAGCCGGGCGGGCCGCCCTGATGGCCTCCGTACATGCCGGCCGCGGTGGCCAGGCCATAGGTCTGGGCCGCGCCCCCAGCGCCCTGCGGTGGCCCGCCATAGTACTGTGGACCGGTCGGACCTCCGGGTGCGGAATTCGAGTAGTAGCTGTTCGACTGCAGCTGATGGGCGCCGGGCGGCGGTCCGCCCTGTCCCGGATGCGGCGGATATATATTCATGTAGCCCGCATATGGACCGGAGCCGGGCCCGGGTCCGGGTCCTGGCCCAGGACCTGGACCGCCACCACTGCCCGCCGACTTGGAGCCAATCGCCCCGATCGGCTGTTGACTGGGAGGCGGCGGCTTGGCCGCGCCCGACGACATCATGGAACTGCTGTTGGAGGATATGATGGCAACGGCGGCAGCATTCGGATTGTTCAGCTGCTGTGAATTGGGCTGCGGCTGGCCAAAGGGACCGCTGCCGATCCGGTACTGCGACGGCATATTGGAGTACATGTCCGGCGTGGGCGCTGTTGGCGGCGGCGGCATATTGCCGCCATGGCCATGCGGCGTCTGCATGGCGTACGCATTGAAGGCACCGCCAGCAGCTGCCGCCGCCGCCGCTGCCGCATAGTGGCCGGGCAGGCAATGGGCAGCGGCGGCCGCTGCCGCTGAGTATGCGGGCGAGCGGTTCGAATGATCAAGCGAATGGAATGAAGCGTACAGATTGCCCGCCTGCGATGGCGGCGGCGGCGGCGCCAGCTGCGATGAGTTGAACACAACCGCCGGCGGGCTGGGAATCGTTGGAATGCCGCCGACGCCAAACTGCGGCGATGCCTGATAGAACGGCAACTGTTGCTGCTGCTGGGACTGATGTTGCTGCTGCTGCGAGTGCTGCTGCTGCTGCTGTTGGTGGCTAGGCGGCGGTGACATGCCCAGTCCGGCGTGCAGCTGCTTGGCCTTCACCGCCTGCTGATGCTGCTGCGAATGCTGCTGTTGCTGTGGACTGGGATAGTCATCCTGCTGCGGCTGTTGCTGGAATTGCTGGTCCAGCGAGCCGGTGTCGAACGGCGAACCGTGGCTGCCATAGACCGGTCCCGGCGAGGACAGTGCGTGGTGAGCATGGTGTGCCTGCTGCTGGTGATGTGACGGCTGTTGTGGTTGCTGTTGCTGCTGCTGCTGGTGATGGCCCTGCATGTGCACCGCGGATACGGCATAGTGCGACATCTGTTGCTGGAGCTGCTGCTGCGAGGCAGCCACGGCGGCTACAAACGATGCGCCGCTTATGTGGCTGCCGCTGTCATCCACCACCGAGTTTGAGACCTGCTGCTGTCCGTGTTGGCTGTGCTGCGATTGTTGTTGTTGCGCGTGCTGTTGCTGGGCAACGGCTGCTGCAGCTGCTGCGGCCGCCGCTTGCTGTTGTTGTTGAGAATGCTGCTGTTGTTGCTGTTGCGCGTGCTGCTGCTGCTGGTGATGTTGTTGCTGCTGCTGCTGCTGTTGTTGCTGCTGCTGTTGTTGTTGCTGCTGCTGCTGTTGTTGCTGCTGCTGCTGCTGCTGTGCACTAGCCGCATGGCTTGCCTGCTGAGTTGTCTCCGACATGGGCGTGGCCGATTCCCACACCTTTTTCACGCTCGCTATTTTCATATTCAGATCCGCCGTAGAATTGTTCTGCTGCTGTTGTTGTTGCTGCTGCTGCTGCTGTTGTTGCTGTTGTTGTTGTTGTTGTTGTTGCTGCTGCTGCTGCTGGTGTTGTTGAGAGGCCGCCTTGCTGGCCGCTTCCAAACTGTCCACCACCTTGAGCGAGGCAGCATCGTCACTGAAGCTGAAGCCCAATTTCATGTCCTGCTGCTGCTGCTCATCGTCATTTCCGCCGAAGCTCATCTGCGAGAGCGCACTCGATAGGCTCTCGACAGCTGCAGCGGTCGCTGCCCCTCCAAGGGATTGGGGCTTGAGCGGCACAGCGGCGGCCGCTTGGTGCTGCTGCTGCTGCTTGTACGTGGAGTTCTCGAATATGATGGTGTTCACTGGAGCATTGGCGTCTAGCAATAGATTGCCCGCCCCAACCACGCCCACAGCCAGGGCGCTCTTGTCACCAATGGCCGACAGCTTGGACTTGTCGCCAATTGGCGCCGTTGTTGCTGATGCAGCAGCTGCTGCTGCTGCCGTTGCTGCTGCCACTGGTGGCGCAATTGTTGTGCATTCGCTAGTCTTCTTTTTGCCGGGCACATCGCTGCCTGGGGCAGCCAATAGGGGCAGTCCAGCAGAGGCGGCGCCAACGACAGCTGTGCTCAGTCCTGGCGGCGGCCTGGCTCCTGCTGCTCCCGCTGTTCCGGCTCCCGTCGCTGGGCCCGTTGCAGGCCCATCTTTGTGTGGCTCCTCCTTGGCCACGGCAGTGTTGGGTATATTAATGTTGCTTACGATGTTGGTGTTGGTGTTGCTGTTGCTGCTGCTAGCATTGCCGCTGCCGGCAGTCTTCTCCTTGTCGGCCAACAGCTCCTCCTTCTCGTCCTTGCCCTTGTGCAGTCCTGCACTGAGCGCCATCTGATTCTGCTTGGTCTTGTCCAGATCCGACACATTGCCCGTCTCCGATTCAGAGTTACGCTTGCTGTACTCCTCATAGCCCAATCGGCCATACGCACGTCCTCCGCTCGCTGGCTGTCGTCGGAAACCGGACGCCGAGCTGCCTGCACTGGAGAGACCACCGCGTCCTCGGCGCGAGGGCTCGCCTCTTGGCGAAAAGCCCGCCTTGTTAACTCCCGCGCCTGCTCCCGATCCAGCTCCTGCTGCTGCTGCAGCCGTCACACCAGAGCCGCTGCTGTTGCTGCTCTGATCGGAACGAGTCTGCACTTTTGGACTTCGTCGCGATGCGCCACCGCCACCACCACTGCTGCTATAACAATCCTCGTCGACGTCTTCCGATTGCTCGGACTGCTCACCTCCGCTGCCGTAGTAGCGACGGCCGCCGCTGCCTGCACCACCGCTGTTGCGGCTGCTCCAGTCGCTGTTGCTGCGCTGTCCGCGATAGCTGCCACCGCCAGCTCCACTGGCCGGATAGCTCCTGCCCGCGCCCCTTGTCGTGTGCAGTTCCTCACGCCCGCCGCGACCACCACGTGGACTGGGACGCTTGCCAGCCGCAAACTGCACGGCGGATGCTGCAGTGGAGGCGATCGTTGAGTTACGGGACACCTCCTTGTCATCATCCTTGGCAGCAGAGAATCCAGCCAGCTTGGCCGCCTCCGTCTCTGCGCCCTTGTCGCCAGCTTCGCGATCTGCCGGCTTCTCCTCCGGCTTGTCAACGGGCTCAACGCTGCGCCTCAATATCTGTGTGGGCTGAATGGGCTGCATGGGCTCCAACGGCTGTTTCTGGAGCGTGCTGCTGCTTGTTGAGAGGGCCTTCTCCTCGCTGAGGCTTGGCTGTCGCGCTGGCCGCTGTAGTATCTTAATCTGTACGGCTGAGTCGTGGCTGTGCGTGGATGAGAAGCTCTCCTCGCGATGACGATGATGCTTCTGCTCAGCATCCGTTTGCTCCGCCCAGGACGAGCAGGAGCCACCGCCCATGTGCACATCATCGCCGGAGGAAACGCTCGTCTTGCGATGCGAATTCTCCGAAATGCTGCGCGACTGCATCAACTGCTGCTGCTGTCCACTGCGATACTCCTGGCCACGCGTATACCTGGACTGCTCCAGCTCACGGCCACTGGATGCTCCCACTGCATTCGCATCCTGCTCCTCAGCTCTGGCACTGTCATGACGATTGCGGCCGTAGCTGCCACTGCCGCTGCCCACTCGCGCATAGCCGCCTGAGATGCTGCGGACTCCGCTGCCGGAGCCGCCGCCACCGCCGCTGCTGCCACCACTGCCGCTGGAGCCGGCGTTGCCGCTGCCGCCCTTTTGCAGATAGCGGGAGTTGCTGCCATCGAAGGCGCTACTGGCCGAGGCGCTCTTCTCGAGACCACCGCGCGGCAATTGCTGCTGTTGTTGCTGCTGCTGCTGGCGCTGGAAACGCGGCGGTAAATTCGATTGGAAATGCGTCATGAAGACGGGCTTTTGGCCATAATCGCCGGCGGCTGCAGATGCCGCACTTGGAGCCGAGGCGGAGCCATTGCCACCGCCGCTGCCCATGCTTGAGATGCTGCCACGCGGTCGCCGCTGCTGCTGCAGCTGTTGCTGCTGTCCGGCACCTCCGCCCTCGTCCTCGCTGACATTGGCCAGGGGCACGGCTGGTGCCTCGCTGCTGGCAGTGGCCGGGGTGCCACCGCTGCTCTCGCTGAGCGCCTTCTTGCTGTTCATCTTCATCTCAAGCTCCTGCAGCTTCTTTGCCGCCGCCTGTTTCCGTTCCATCTGGCGACGCTCCTCCTCCTCCTTGCGCTGCTTAACACGCTCATAGACGCCAGCATCGAGAGCAATGCCACCGCTACCAACGACCACATTGCCCGCACTGCTACGGTGGCCGTTCTGCTGTCGCTGATCCTGGCCCTGACCCTGATCCGCTGGGCCATCCAAGTCCCGCTCGCTGCTGTCCTTACCGCGCTGCCACGAGCTGCTGCCCGACGACTTGCGCTGATCGCTGGATTGGATTGATTGCTGCTGCTGCTTATTGTGGCTGTTATTGCTGCTGCTGCTGTTGTGGTGCTGATCGTCCAGACTGGCGTGCTCCTCATCATCCGAAAATGTTAGTTTCTTTGTGTAGTCAATTTCATCCTGTTTTGTCCAGCTATCGTCCTTCGCAATCGCATTTAGGCGCTCCAGATCCTCTTCCCTAATGATGGGACGCTGCATTTGAGCCACCTCTGGCTCTACCACATAGTCCTTGTCTTTGTCCTTGCGGCCACCGGGCCCGTTCGTCTGCAGCTGCTGCTGCTGCGGCGGTGTTGTCGCCCCTCCACTTCCTCCCATCGTACCTGACGGTGGTGGCGTCGTCATCGCTGCATTGCCAGCGCCTGGACGCTTCGGTATCGCAGCCGCGGCACGAAAACTGCCCAGAATGGCTGGCGAGGCGGATCGGTTGCCGGTGATGCCATTTTGATAGGGCGCTGGCGCCGACGAGCCCAGATCTGAGGAAATGCTGGATGAGGCATTTGCCACAGCCGCTGCCATTGTAGGCCCACCTCCGATGCCGGAGGCGGGCAGCGGTGCTCCACTACGCATGAATGACGGCATTAGCGAGAGTATGGGCAGTGGTACACTGCCGCCCGATCCTGCGCCCGCACCGCTCCCATTGGCCGGTATCTGGTGGCCCTGGCCCTGTTGGTTCAAAGCCAGCTCCTTGGCGGCCTTCTCCTGCTGCTGCAGCCAAGCGGCTGGGTCGTTTTGGGGACGCAGGCTCATTTCGCTGAGTTCGCTGCTGCTGCTGTTGCCGCCGCCGCCGACGTCGTCGCTGCCATCTCTGTAATTGCCGGAATCCGCATTGGTGGCACTGCCCCGATGCAAGTGGTGTCCACCGTGTCCGCCAAACTGACGACCATGATGGCCATGGTGATCGCGATAATCTCGCTGCTGTTGCTGTTGATAATGATGATTCTGGTGATGATGTGCGTGCTGTTGACCCTGGTAATGCGCCTGCTGGTCCTTTGATGATTTGCCACCGCCGCCGGCTGCGCCCGCATGACCACCTGAGGATGCAGCGCCACCGCTGCCGCCCATCAATGTGGGGAATTCGTATTGAAACTGTGGACTCTGATAGTGCGGCACCACCTGCTGCTGTTGTTGCTGATGATGACGGTTGCCATAATGGCCGCCATGCCCGCCATGGCCACCGGTGCCGCCTGCACGTTCGTGTCCTGTCGTTATCGCTGACCATGTCTTGGGTGAGTTATTCGCGTGACCGCCGCTGCCGCTTCCAGCAACACCACCCGACCCTGCTCCGCCGCTGCCGGCCGATGCGCCTCCGCTTGTCGCCGAGTTATTTATTAATTTCAAATTCTTATTGTTATTGCTGTTGCTGCTGTGGCTGTTACTGTTGCTGGTGCTGTTATTGTTGCTGCTGTTGTTATTGTATTTGCTAGCGTTATTGTGGTTGTGGCCAAGAGCTGATCCTCCCGCTGCACTGTGTCCACTAGCGATATTGTTGTGGCCAGCGCTGTTTGCACCTGCGCCACTTGCCGCTGCACTGATCGCTGTTCCGCCCGCGCCTCCTGCGTTTGAGCCGCCGCTGATCGTACTGCTGCTGTTGCCTGAAAGCCCAGCATGTAAACAAAATAAGAAAAAACAATTATTTTTAACACCAATCGATTCTTCTCAACTTATTCAACAATCGCTATATCTAATCAGATCGCTTACCTTCAACAGATGCAAGGAGATTGTTGTTGTTGTTGGTGCTGATGTTGCTCAAAGGCGTCGCACTGTTGGTGGTGCTGCTACTGATGATGTTCGTCTCGGCCTTTAGGGATGGCAGATTGGCCGGTGGCCGCCTAGCTGAAGGCACTTTTCCCAAAATTTGCATTCCATGTTTACGCGGCACTTGATTCTTTTGGGCAGATGGTTCACTCGATTCGCCCTGAAAATTGTTAAGAAATGGTTGCATGGTCGTTGATTGAGATGGTAATCAATTAAGTTAGCATTGAGGACAGACATGTGAGACAAGCTTTTCTTCTATATATTGATTCTTACTCGGCTATTCTTGTACATGCGATTTATATCCAACGCTGTGAATTTGGGCTTGGCATTTCGCTCTCCCCTACTTCCCCCCAGTGTACTCATGCTGCCAATAGATCCTCATTAGCGTTAGCTTCCTTTGCCGCCTACTGCTGCCACGCGTTCCACGCCAATCGCACTCGATTCGCTTTAGATGTGATGCAAATATTTGCAGACGTTCGAAAGTCGGACTGTGCTAATGTCGATGTCGATGTCGATGTGGATGTCGATTTCGATTTGAGGAGGTCGAGATCTGTTTTAGTTGCCTCCTTGGCGCCTTACGTTTTGTTCTTGCTTCTTCCTTGTAGTTTCTCTTCACGATTCTTCTCTGTGTTTGCTGTATGGTTCTCAGTCTTCTTGTGTGAGCTGTAAAACGACTAATAGCAAGAGCGAATAAGAGAGAGACTCACTAAAAGAGGGTGTGTAATTGGGTGGGGGGTGTCATATTGTAAGCTGGTACTTGCTACTGGTACCGCTGCTGCTGTTGCTAATGCAACTGCAACTGCTGCTGCCGCTTCATTTGTTTGTTGCAATTTTTGTGTATTGTTTTTTTTTTTTTTTTTTTTTTTTTTTTTTTTTTTTTTTTTT